CGATGGCCCTCTTTCCCCCACACTTGCGCATCCTGTGAGGAAGCCCACTGGACCATCCTTCAGAGCACACCCACATCATTCCTAAGTCAGGTTTACTAAGGATGCAATCGGTATTTGCACATGGTATTGGTGAACAGAGGTCTTTGCCATTGCATGAGCTACTTCTAAGGAAGCTTTCCAGAGAAAAACCCTACTGAAACTGCCAGGAGGCTCAGTTTCAATCCTGCCTTTGTTCTCCATCTATCTGTATTGATCTCCACCGAAAGGCAAGTCCAAGGAACTAAAATCCAATAGACCTGTTTCTCTATTAGAAAGCCCATCTGCCAGCTGCAGTGACTTATGTTATCTATTGCAAAGTATTTTGTCACCAACATGAGCTTTCTGGGAAATAGGCCTGCCAGAGAAATTGAACCCGATGCCACTGAAAGTAACCCTGTCATGGACATTAGCCCAGAAGCAGCCACAGGAACATCCACTACTCAGTGCTCCACACCCCAAATCCTGCCTGAGCCTCCCCGTATCCTGTTGGGGTTCCCAGAATGAAAGGTGGGAACTGTCTGATGCCACACAAAGAAAAGAGCAAAGACCAACGGTACCAAAGAAGCTCAAGGAACTGCCATTTCTTAAATAACAATGCCCAGGTGGTCCCAGGGAATGGACTGCACCTCCTCTACACCCCTAAGGAAAACTCTGGGGTGTTTGCCAGGCTGAGCTGGATGGGAAAAGTCTACAGAGCCCAAGGCTGTTACGAGTAACGCTGAAGGCTGGAGGACACAGGAGTCAAGTCTGGGAGCGCTCCAGTGCCATGGGAGACACCAACCCACCCCTTTCCCATGCTCTTGCCTGCCTGGAAAACCCAAGCTATCACAGGTTGGACTTCTGCACCAGGAACTCACAAAAGAAACACCTTAAGCAGGCAATAAATGAATACAAGAATTTGTGTAGCAAAGACTTGGAGCCAGGTGAGTGCTCAAAGCTTTTAGCCTGGAAATATGAAGAGGAACCTGTGAAGAGGGGAGCAAGTGCATGAATCAATCCTCAGACAGGACTACAGGCAAAGCTCATCCCATAGATACAAACCAAGCAGGTTTGTTGTCCCCCTCCAGGCCCAAAAGCCTCAGACCTGAGCACCAGTGGGACAGCACCAGATCAGCTACAACTAAGCAACCCACCTTTAGTTTGAGCAACTGGAATAATCTGGCTCTTGGTTTGGACCAGGTTGGACACGAGGGCTTGGAGCAACCTGCTCTGGTGGACGGTGTCCCTGCCCATGGCAGGGGGTTAGAACTGGATGAGCTTTAAGGTCCCTCTCAACACAAACCAGGCTGGGATTCTAAGACCAGCACAAAGGAAAGGCTGAGACATGACTCAGCTTCTTGCAGTTCTATTAAACCCTTCCTCTAAACACAAACACAAGCCACGAGTGAGATGGCTCCTGGGACAGAAGCGCACCCGAACTGCTGCTGCTGCTGTTGAAATGAGCAGCAAAACACGAAAGCAACAGATCAAGTCACAGCTAATAAGTTACACGAAGGTAAATTACAACCCATAGCATGTCTCCCCGAGTGTAGCCAGCTCCTCTAAGCAGTCTTTTATCCCATGGTTTTCTTTTATGCCAAGAGGTTTGCTTTTCAAAGAGATATTAGCCCAGATTAAAACCACTAAAAAGACAGCAAAAGAAAAAGAAGCAGGTGATGATTAAGCAACAGGCTCAAAGTGTGTGGCTGTGAGATAACGAACATCTCAGGGGCACATTGCTGCATCCCTCCAACAACCCAGGAAACACGTTATCACTCAGAAACACAACCTGCAACAAACACAAACAAAAGCAGCTTCCAAAAGAAAACCTTTACCAAGTGTAATGTGCAGCTCCAGGGAAAAGGGGGTTCAATCTACAACTCCCAAAGCTTGTTCCTTCAAGGCTGGATCTTTTTTCCCCTCCATTACATTAGTATTTTTTATCTATTTACAGCTCAGATATAAAGAATCAGACTGTGTTTGTTACCTTGAATCTCTCATTGCCCACTTTCATGTTGCGCAGTGTTATTGTACATACCACATAACAACAAAGCTAAGTAAGAGCAAGAAGTGTCTAACACGTCTTCAGAAGCAGTTTGTTCCAGTCTGAAAGCTACAAGACACCAAAAGGGCTTGATCCTGTCTGTGTAACTGGTTAGTGGTCTTCCTGATGGGCAAACACCAGCGAGGGTGCACAGGACATGCAGTTACCTCTGCCCCTGGGCCTAATTCTAAAACTGCAAGTTGACTTGGAAAACCCAGATGTTTTCTACTATTTGGTTGGGGAACATGCTTTGCTCTTCATTACCCACACACATCTGTATTTCCTTCTCACATCTCTGTGAAGTGCTCCCTGAAAAACCTACCCAGAACCCCACAGCAGCCCTGAGCATCTATCAACTTTCCCAGAAGCTGCTTCTGGTAACCCACGGGGGTATGACACAGACTGGTTTGCACAGAATGACAGCCTGGTTTGGGTTGGAAGGGACTTTAAAGCTCATCTAGTTCTAAGCCCCAGCCATGGGCAGGGACACCTTCCATTAGACCAGGCTGCTCAGAACCACATCCAGCCTGGCCTTGAATGTCTCCAGGGATGGTGCATCCAGCATCTCTCTGGGCAACCTGTGGCTTTTACCAATGAGGTTTTTACCTCTGGGAAACCCGTACCATTTTACCACCCTCATTGTAAAAAATTTCTTCTTCACATCCAACCTGAATCTCCCTCTTCTAGTTGAAAACCATCACCCCTCGTCCTAAAGTCACAGCTGCACAAGCCCATCCTCTGCTTGACACCAGCGCTTGATCCTCCAGGATTCATCTCTAAATCTTAGTGCTCATGAGAAACTATTTTCCTGTCATTATTTCCCTGCAGAAGCTAAATCTATATATTATGATGATGTTGTTTGTAATATCCACAGTTTCAACTATATGATGTTGCTATTGCTGCTGACAATTATTTCCTACCATTAGTGGGAACTATATGACAATGTTATTGCCATTAATAATTCTTTGCTGTCACTGAAGCTCCTTGATGATGCAGAGAGTGAATGCATGGGTCCCAGAGATATGCTCTGGTTTGTAACATTTCTTTTATGTGAGAAAACTAGATTATTACATGCTTGGGAGGAGCTCTCCATAAGCATCTGCCAAGCAACCTCATTATCTTCCTTCAAATCTCTTCTTACAAAAACCTTATTTTTCATGATGCCTACAAAGATTCAACGGCACAGTACTGACATTATTAACCCTAACAGATAGTAGCATCACCTCATTTCCTACACCCAGTCTCCCCGTGTACTTCCATTGCAAGGTTTCTGAGGACACAGCCGTGTTGGTGTTGTACAACCCCCAACACAACCCAGGCCCATCACTCAGGACCTTGGCTGTTCACAATCCCAATGCAATGACTGCATCCTCTTAGTGGGATGCAGAGCGCACATTGCCCAGGTGTGCCAGCAGATTGGGATTTTCCCACCTCCTGCACATGACGGAGGAATTAGTCCCTCAGTTTGGATCATCTCACTAGCTAGGTGGGTGCCACAGAGTGCTCCAACACAACCCAGGCAGCTTGGTCCAGCTGCAGACACAGGTACAAGGAAGGAATCCTAGAGCTGGAAGTGCTTGAACACACTACAAGCTTTGGCCACCCATCTCACCACCCTGCCACCATCCAGCCCCACCACCAGACCCCACCAGCACTGACCCAGTCTTCCCAGCAAGCCTCAAGGGAAGACAGTGCCCTGCAATCTCAGCAGTGGATAAAGAGATTTCAGTCTGCATCCTCACTGCCAGCTGCAATCTCAGCTTACTGTGGGGGTGATGTCTTTTGAAAGAACTTGTTTCCTTGTCCCAGCCCCTTCAGTAGTGTCTACAGAGCACTTAATGTCAGCCTCATTGCTGCACACTAAGCAATAGGTAGAGGCTGTTTAGAAACATATTTCTTTGTGCATGGCAATGAGAAGCTCAATAATTACAACCAATGGGTTCTCTTTAAAAGAGTGTTCTTCTCTTTACCCCATTGATACGGTAAAATTTGGAGAAGGAGCATCTAATTTTGGTATTTCAAACCCTCCAAGTACTGGGCAATGCTACATATTGCAGAAACACATCACCTGCTCTTCCTCTTCACTAGCCAAATAGTTCCAGCTCTGAAATCCCACAGCTTCACTGGTGCCCATCATCCAGGCTTCTGCACTAGAGCTGCTGTGATTTCCATCAGCTGAGGAGCTGCCCTCCTGTTTCTTTTACTGGTAATTATAATTCATCAGCTTTCTGTAGTGCTCATTACTGTGGTATTTGAGTGCCTATTTTTGCAGGCTTGAATAGCTTGCTGTACACCATCTCATCTCACTGCAGACAGACAAGCAACCTCTCCAGGCTCCCTCTGGAAATGAGCTCTCCACGTGCTGCACCTTCCCTGTTCTTCCCTTCTCATCACAGCATCCACAGCATATAATATTTTAAAACAATACTGAAAGCGTGCAGTACAAATAATGAAGACAGCAATCAAAATAACTGTCTGTTGTTCCTTACAAGGATTTCAACTACCCTAATGACATTATCCAACTGAATATTAGAGAGACTTGGAATCCAAGTGCAAAAATGCTTCCACGTGAAACCACCTCCTGCACCTTTGTGGTACCAAAAGCCAGCAGAGAAGGTATTGCAACAGCAACTGAGAGCAGACTAAACCAAACAACACACATGTCTCATGTAAGAAACCAAACACCCCCTCCACATTTTCTCATGGCCTCACTTGAGCAGGTTGGGTGGGTTTGTTTCCTTGTCTTGTTCTTTACTTTCCCTTTTCATATCAAAACCATAATATAAGAGGCAGGAGGAACTCTACAGGGTCCAAGCCCTTTACAAAGCCTGGGACATTATTTTGCAGATAAGGAAACCAAGGCACACAGAGAAAAAAAAAAACCCATCTCATTTAACACCACTGCAAGGGGCTAAAGGCTCCTGGTTCCTGTCCCTCAGCTCTGTGGTAAATGCTTAGACTTGCATCTCTGCAACAAATCGAAGTATTATTATGAGAAACAAGGATACACATGAAACCAGGACTTCCGAATGCTACCATGAAGAGAAAGATGACTTTCTGGTCTCCTTTAGCCTTCTGGCTTTAGCTACACGTTCAAGCAGCAATCATCTCAGATTTTAACTTTGTTTTGATCCTGATCCTTTTTTGCTACAGAAGCTGGAGAAACTGGTGTGCCAGCCAGAACACCTACCACCTCACACTGTGTGCCTCCCAGCAGTATCACCACTCCCAAAGAATCCCAGACTGGTTTGGACTGGAAAGGATCTTAAAGCTCATCTAGCTTCAACCCCCTCCCCCGTGCAGGGACACCTTACAATAGAGTAGGTTGCTCCAAACCCTCATATCCAGCCTGGCCTCGAACACTGCCAGGGATGGGGCAGCCACAGCTTCTCTGGGCACCCTGTGCCAGTGCCTCAGCACCCTCACAGGGAAGAGCTTCTGCCTTAGAGCTCATCTCAATCTCCCCTCTGGCAGGTTAAAGCCATTCCCCTTGTCCTGTCCCTGCAGAACCTTGTCCAAAGCCCCTCTCCAGGTTTCTTGTAGCCCCTTTAGACACTGAAAGTTGCTCTAAGGTCTCCTCAGAGCCTTCTCTTCTCCAGGCTGAGCAATCCCAGCTCTCTCAGCCTCTTTTCATGCACGACTCCTCCAGGACATTTTAAGGAATTCAGCACCCTCGTGGTGCTTTGGAGATCTGAGACCCCAGCATCACTAACCTTCATCACTGTTGTCATCCACAAGGATAATCTCCTTCAGCAAGTGAGCTGGCGTGTGATTAACCGCACTGTGCACTGATCGCAGGATAACAGAGAGCGCTTCGTTCACGAAGATGAAGATGATGGAGATCTGGGGTAGGTCCTTGCCATATTTCAGCTCTTTGCACCTGTAGTACGAAGGGCAGAGAGAGAGAGACAGGGTTAGCAGAGCACAGAGAGCAGCACACATTTAATACCCAGTGCATGACGATGGTGACACCTCACAGCTTTGCAGAGCCACGTGTTAGAGCTGCCTGTGCTGAGTTCCAGTTGCCTAGGACACAACAGCAGCATCAGAAAGCATCCTCCGGGCTCAGAGCACCAAGGGCATGGTGCAAATCCAGATTTCATTTAGCTGAGGTTGTGTTCACACAGCTGTGTGGTTTGTCTGTGGGGATGTAAGAAAAAGCAGCCTCCGGAGGAGATAAAATGGCTTTACCATTTCAAGTGAAACTCCACATTCCTATTCTGTTTTAAGATTGACAGGAGCTCAGAAACGAGCCTTGTTCTTAAACAGCACTTGAGAATTTTCTTCCCATTCACTTTGGAATGAAAGAAATATGAAATGGCCCTTGGTTAAACAGCCTCAATAAATGTTTTAACTCTCTTTGCAGCTACTTCTGAATGCATGCCTGCGTCTGACGTACCCCAGCAGAGCTTTGCCTTTAACTGCTGTCTTTGTACTTCACAGCCAGGATAGGTTAAAAACAAAAACTTTTCATCATCTCACTGGCTTTCAGGAGTAGTTGCTTAACTTGAGCAGGTTTTATGGCTGGGTATCTGCTTAGACACATCAGAGCAGAACAAAAGCGGAGGTTGCTTTTAGATCACCTACCAGCCAAACTCCATCCCTGGCAAGCAACAGGTTCATATTTCATCAACACAACCAACCTCGAGACCAAGGACACCATGGAGCAGAACCAAGGTAGCTCTAAGTGAAAGAGCTCCTCCAAGTAACCCACAGCTCTCCAAGGAGCACACATAACTCCCAGTGAGATACAGATGTTGGTTTAATCCCACCTTTCACCCTAACCACAAACCTGAGCTTAATGAAGTACTTGCAGGAAGCAAACAGGGCATCTTTTAACTACTTGAAACAATTAAACCA